TCAGTAAGTTTTGCCACAAAACAGTCTCAAAAAAGAATTATGTGCAATAGACTTAGTTTTAAGTAGAATTTCTGTTTTGTGACCCTGAGTAGGTTTAAAATATAAATCTGGTAAAGCGATTCTGCTACATATAAAAACCTTCTGGTCTTCTCACTGCCCAGAGTCTCGGCGTGTCTGTCAAGACCTCTGTGAGGGGGTCCACTGTCTCCAGCCAGCCCTCCCTGGCACTCTCTCCAGGCTACGTGTCTCTGAGTTGTTCCCATAGGGGGTCATGTTCCCCTCTCATCCTGGGTCTTGCATATGCACTTGCCTTTATGTGAGCTGCTCTTTGTAGTTCCCTCCCCTGGGAGTCAGTGCCTTCCTATGTGCCCCTACAGGGCCCAACAATTACCCTTGTGGTAGCACTTTGTAATCATATGCTTTCTTGAACATTCTCCTCCCTCTACAATAAACTTTAAACTCCTAAGGACTAGTACTAGGCTGGATCACAAACGTATGGGGCCCACTTTCCTGACTACACCTTTGGACTTGGGTTCTGCAGTTGAGCCAGAGTCCTCTGTGTCTGTTTCAAGCATGATACTCATTAGGGCTGTTTTCCAATGTTCTGGCTCTCTTTTCTTCCAGGCATATGGCAGGGTTGTACCCCTGTCCACTAGGTGTGGCATGTGACTTATTTTGATGGATGGAATGTGAGCAAATGTGTGGAGAGTTACTTCCAAGTACAAGCCTTTGAGTCAGCTTGTGCTTCCCCACACTTCCCCCGTGGCCTCCCTGACTGGCCACGCTCTAAACAAGGGTCCTTCATTAGCTACAGTCATGATCATGCTGTGGAACAGAGACCCCAGGCAGCCATTGTGGGGCATGTAACCCAAACGTGAAATAAATCTTTGTTGTTTTTAGCCACTGACATTTCAGTTATTTGTTATGGCAGCATCACCTAGCATATTCTAGCTGATAAACAAGATGGAAGGTAGAATTTTTCCATAATGTGGACTCAATATTGCTTATGACTATTTAGAGCATTGAACTGAAGTCTATGCTTGGGTTCAGTGTGAAAGATGCTGTGATTTATTAATATTGTCTCCATGGGCATAACATGGGGACCTGGGCAGATTTGTCTATCTTGATTTATTCTGTGCTAAGAAGCATATTTCATAACAGGTATCTTCTCTGTTCTTACTGAGGGCCTGTCTCCTTCACCCCTTACTGATATATGTACCAGCATAACTACTGCCAGAATTTCAAGCTATAACTAAGCTGAAGAAATAATCTATTAGAGGTCATCGGATGAATAATGGAGCTGATACTAGTTTACTGACTTCTAGTTAAACAGCCTTTCCCAACTGGTGGTTGTTTATTAACAGAGAATCATTGTGATTCTTCATTTGAGAAAAGCATTTTATCCTGAGAAAAAGATTAGTGGACGTTTAACTCTGCAATTTTTCTTTATTGCTAATCATTTACCAGCTATCCTAATATTCTTGTCGACTTTATATTATTATACTCTGGATACACTTTCTATAACTTACAAAGTTATTTTTCAGTATTTTATTCAATTTAAAGGAGACTATAAATGTGAACAATGTTCTTCTACCAATTTATATATTCTCTCCATGCATTATACATTTAGTCAAGCATACTATTTTTTGAACTAACATTTCTTAGGTGTTTTCAATTCTGAGGTACACATTAAGGGCTCCAAATCAATAGTCAATAGTCACTACTTGATGCTGTTTATTCTTTGTCAGTTTCTTTATAGGTGTCTCCCTCTGCTACATCCTTAATCATCCTTGGGCTTCCCACTTGTATATGATTCAGACTCACAGAGGTGTCACAGCTCAGAGACTTTCCTCTTTCCAGTGGTCCTCTTATATTACACAGTCCTCCAGGTTCTGCTGGCCTTGTCTAATCCAAATGAGTTTGTCTCCTCAACCCTGCCCCTGAACAAGTTTCATGGGGTGCTATGAAAAGACAGATACTCCCAGCTGTAGAGATAGATAAATGCTGTTTTATTGTCATAGGTTCTTCTTTTTGGGAAGCTTTGAAATCATTCAAAAATTGAGCCCTGAATAAATAATGGAGGAAGATACCAGGCAAATTTATATTATTGCACTAATATTAGCATTATTATTCATATTTTCCTGACTATTACTTAGTATCTTTTATATTATCTCCTAATCTGTACTATATGCTTTTTACTGGAGTGAAGCTTTAATAATCCACCATGCTTTTGCCTCTCTCCAAATAGTTGCAGCACAAAACATAAAACCAAGTCTCCTCCCAAAACTTAGGAAAACTTATTTTGGATGAAATCAGTCTTTTGAACATTAATTTTCCCTTAGCACTAATTTGAAATAAGTTACTTAAATGTTTAATTAGCTTGAGTGCAGCCTTAGGAGTACATAGGACTGTACTTGTCTATCTAAAAATGAGTCCTGGTTAGTTGTGTCTTCCTTGTCAACCCGAGAAGACTGGCTGTATAGTGTCTAGAAAATGAAAAGCTAAAGAGCCCGTCTGTCACTTTTTAGAGAAGACGGTGCTTAGGGTGGTCTTTCCATTGACTGGGGCCATTTGCATCCACTCATCAGGGATAGAGAGGTTGTGCTGAGTGGTTGACACTGGAGAAACAATGATGAATACGGCACAATCCCTGTCCACAAGGGGCTCTCAGTTCAGTTAGAAGGTGCATATTTTAAAGAAAGTAATATGACTTTGTTAAGTAATATGATTTATGGTTAAAAAAAAGTGTTGGAATATTGACTATGTACACAGCAAAGTCTGAGAAGATTTCCCATAGGAGGTGACATTTGAGCAGAGTCCTGCAGGTTGGCCAAGAGTTTGCCAGGCATGTAGGACAATCAGAAATTTTTCATCAGAGTGAAGAGTATCTTCAAACACATAGTTCAGGTAGGATGGAATGTGGGGTGTGTGTGCATATGGGTTGGGTAATAGGAAGATGGATGAAGCTGGAAAAATAGGCAGGTGTCAGGGAAAGAACATTGTACATTAGCCTAAGGAATGTATATTTTTATATTGAACACTAGTAGAGAGTGCTTGAAATATGTGCCAGAGAATATCAAGGATGACATCACATACATCTGTTTATAGAGTTGGAGTGGGTCTGGCTGTAGGAAGTCCACTTGGGAGACTGTCACCAGGGGCTAGTTGAGGGCTGAGGACTTGAACTGAGGTGGTAAATGCAGACTTCAATAAAAATTAAGGGAGGGAGCAGTGTTAGAGACATACAATGAGGGAGAAGTCTTAACTCCCACATTTCTGACTTGCGGGTATGGGGGTACCCTGAACCTCAGTAAGGATTAGAGGAGCAAGGGGAGGAGAGTGTTTATGGGGAGATACAAGGTGTGTTTTGTCTGTGTTGACGACCCAAATAGTGATGTTCAATTGGTGACTGGAAATAATCACTAGAAGGTCATGAGGGCTACACAGGCGGGAAAGGAATGACTGTGTGTTAAACAATGGGTAGGAAATGAAACAGAGATGGAGAAAATTGCCCAGTGAGATCTTGGAAGGAAGGAAGAAAATTGGACCAAAGAACTTAAACATTTAAGAGATGAGTTGAAGAGAAAGGAAGGCTGAGAAGCAGCCAACTGATGATTTGTTTTGATTTATTTTCACATTAAATTGCTTGTTGATAATGACCAGGACCATTCATCCTTGTCTTGTTTGTTTCCTTGTCACTTTCCCTCTACCTTCTCCTCTATCATCACTTCTTCCTCCCCCCTTCCCTCTTTTCTTCTTTCTCCAGCTTTTCACGATTCCATAATAAAGTCTGAGGATGTAGAAGAAACATTGCTTTCCTGACCCAATTTTCCCTACCCAATCTCACACTTAATATAGACACAATGCCATCTACTTACTTTGTAATTTCTTCATAACAGCTAATAAGCAAGAAAAATTAACATTATTGAGTATCCATGATTTACATCATTGACTCTCCCACAATCCTGTGGGAAAAACACTCTAATTATCCTCCTTTTAAAGAGGATGAAACAGAGACCCAGAGAGCTTACATGACTCACCAAACATCATACAACCAATGTGATGTTAAGGATGCAAACCAATGTCCGTGTACCCAAGTGCTATGTCCTAATTCCCTACCCTCCTGCCATTACTCACTTCTATTGCTAATTCTAGTGTTGAGATGTTTCATCCCTTTATATCCAGCATCTCTCTGAATCATTCAAGTCTTAACTCCTGTTAGTTGGGGGAGGGTGGGGCAAGCTCCCTTTCAATTTTCTTTCTAGTGGCTTCTGTAAAACTTGTTGGTCTTTGGGTCTGTTCTATATTTCTTGTCTCCTGTTCACTGAATGGCTTGGAATTCCACTCTTGCTGGTCATTTTTGCCCCCAAGGTGGGTGATCTTAATCTTGAATAATGATGATGATTATAAAATGCCAGCAAACTCTTGTGCTCATTTTATGACAATCATGCACTAAGTATTTGCACCTCACAGCAGCCCTGCAGATCATCTTTGAGGCTTGTACTCACCACAACTTATTTACATTAGGACCTGGTCCTGACTGGTGTTCCAGAACATTCAATGGGGTCAGCTCCTTCCTGTGCTGAATTCATGACTAAGTTACTCTCCTGGTGGTAGCAGACCTTCCCTCTGGCAAGGCCCTCCTGCTTAACCCCCAAGCACGTGGTCTCGTTCCCAGGGACTTTTGCCTCTGACATCCAATACTTTTGAAAATAAATACCCCAAACTCTGTCTCAGCAAGTTGCTGATGATGCTACAGAGTATTCATGTGTCTCACTGTCGCAAACAGAGTAATAGACAGAGATGGCACCTTCTGGCACAGCCTGCTGGAGAGACAGGACTGTCCTGGTAAACCTATCATCCCAATTTTCTGGAGGCAAACATTTCTGGGCTACTTGGAATTTATTTTATTTGCTTGATTTCTCTGGCTGTAATAAACTAGGCAAACTCTTGGTCTTTTCATGACCTGGGGGGTGGAGGGCCTGGGGAATAAGTCCTACCTCTTAACTCCCAGGTCCCCGCCTGCAAGACCGGAGCAGCAGAGAAGCAGAAGTGGGCTGGGAGCTTGCACATCACAGCAGGCAGTCATGTGTTCCACCTCCCTGTGGCAGCAGTTTTACACCCAAGCAAATGAAATACCTGTTAATAGGGTAGAGGATAAAACTCATGTTAATTTTTTAGATAAAATGAGACTGCAGGTTTTCAGCTATGGACTGGGTTTCCACGGGTCCTTGTCACTCTCTGCCCAACTCTAGGTACCTTGGTGAAAACTTTGTGAGACTCTGGCCGGCAGCTGAGGTGAGTGCCAACAGGTGAAAGAGTAGGTCCTTGCTAGGTGCTCAACAAATTGCCCCCTCCCTTTTTTTTCTCCCTCTTTTTCTCTCTCTCCTTCTCCTTCCTCCATTACCTCCCACCTTCTCACCTCCTCCCTCCCCTCCTCTCTCCCTTCTCTCTCTTTTTTTTTATTTCCCCCCCTTCCTATTCACTTTCCTCCTTCTTGCCTTCTTTTCTTCATCTCTCAGGATCTCTTATTTTCTGCCTAATGAAATGATTTCTTTAGTGGGGACACTTTGTCACTGGCCTTTTCCAGAAATAAATGAGTTTGGGAATTGTATAAAGTCATAGACTCTTAGAATGCAATAGCCTGCAGCAACCGCAGAAGTCCATTCCTCTCACTTCCCAGGTAAAGAATGAGAGATGACTCAGCCGAGGTCACAGGGAGGCAGAGCCAGACTAGGCCCCAGACTCTTGGCTTCTGGTCCAGAGCTCTCAGTGATGTAGGGAGAATTGTCAAAGGGGCTTTAAACCAAGGCACTGGCTTTCATTCCATGAATACATTGTGGGATTTGCAGATCATCTGTTGTTGGTGCTGTTGTAAGAACAAGATTGTGGTGATGATAGGAGGTGTCCGCTCCAGATTACTAATAGAACAGCCCTTCTGGAAATGCAGGGCTGGAGGGAGGCTCTTGCCAAACTGTAGCAACCAGTGCCCAGGAATCCAGATCCAGCCAAAACCAGGGCCAGCTGCTCCAGGGGAAGGAACAATTTGTTCTTTCCCTGCCCATCTGGGGAGCTGGGCATGTCCTGAGGCAGGCCACTGTTAGTTACCACAGCTGCTTTGCTAAGAGGGAGGATATCATGAGCCCCCACATTCCTACATCCCCATTCTATTTGGCAGCTAGCTAAATTATTTGTCTCAATGATGATATGGTAGATTGATAACTAAATTTTTTTTTCCCCATGAGCAAACGCATATCTCTTCCTTCTGATCATCTGTTGCTACATGGCCCATGGCCTAAGAAGGCTTCAGAAAATTCTGTGTCCTATCTTTTCTTCAACGAAGGTATCTAAGAACTACTCCAAGACAAGTTTTGTGAGAGAAGCTTGGAAGACACAAAACAAAAACATGATGTCTGCATCAAGTATCTGACCCTCTCCTGGAGGATTCCACTCATTTTCTATTGATGCTGTAACAAGTTGACACAAATTTAGTGGCTTTTGACCTCACAGTTCTGGAGGGTCACAAGTCCAAAGTAGAAGTGACTGACCAAATCAAGGCGCTGGCTGAATTGCATTTCTTCTGCAGGCTCTAGGAGAGTATCTCTGTGACTACCTTTCCCAGCTTCTGAAAGCTGTCCCCATCCCCTGGCTCATGGCCCTTCCTCCATCTTCAAAAACAGCAATGGCCACTGAAGTCTTTCTTCTATTGCTATTTTTCTGGTTCTTATTCTTCTGCTTCTCTTTTACAATTTTAAGGACTTCTATGGTTAAATTGGTTCACCTGTGTAATACAGGATAATCCTTTCATTTTATTACTTATTGCATTTTTATTACTGTGTTTTTTATTGAGGTGACATTGGTTTACAATATTGTATATGATTCAGAAGTACATGATCACACCTTTTCAGATATATGTTACCACACCACAGCCACCACCAAGACACACATAATCCTCCTCCATTGTCCATTGGGGTTGTTTCACCCTTTGCTTGATACCCTCCACCTCCCATTCTGTAGTTTCAATTCTAATCCTTCCATTTTAAAGCCAACTTGTTAGCAAACTTAGTTCCTCCTTGCTGGGTAGCATAACCAAGTGTAGGTTCTGGGGATTAGGTTGTAGACATCTTTGGGAGACCATCATTCTGCCTTGGAGATTTAGATATGTTCATAGATGAGCACTAAATACTATAATTAGAAGCAGTGAGGGACTCTTACTGGAAAAGGTGACATCTGAGTTCAGATTTTTGGCTTATGTGAGCATGGTCAAGAAAGAAGGAAAGCACACTATGAAAAAGGAAAAGGTGGGCCTCCCTGGTGACCTAGGGGTTAAGTCTCAGTGCTGTCACTGCCATGGCCTGAGTTCGATCCCCAGCCAGGGAGCTACCCACATGGCGCAGCAGACCTTTCCTGTCTTGCCAAGTGCTGCCCTCAACAGTATATTTCAGTGAATCCTCCTGTTCTGCTCTCCACTCTGTCTCTGGTGAATCCTCTCACCCTTGCACCTCTGGCCTACATCTCAGTTCTTCTACACACACACAAAAAGGGAAAGGGAATAAAAAAAGTGAGGGCATGGCAGCCTGACAGGGTGTGAAACAATGGCTGGAGACATGGGCTCGGGAAGAGCTTGGTGGATGATATAAAAGTTGGCACTCGAAGCTGGAAGGTACTGGTGGGAAACAGATGGTACTTGCAAAGGGGGTGATTAAAGAGTCCTTTGACAGTGTTTGAATGAAGGACCTTTTACAGGATTTGGGCTGGATTAAGGGAAAGTAACAAGGGATGATAAAATATCTCAGCACTGGCAACAATGAGAAGTGTTACCATCCCTATTTCTGGGGCAATGGGCAGGAGTCACTGAGAGATGGTGAGTTCTGACTCTTTGCAGGAGCTGTGGTCTTTGCTGTAAAAACACAACCAAAGCAAACTGCAGCCCTTTGTGGGGAGAGCCAGGGAATGGAAACTCTGACATCTTTGTCTTTCCAATTTTCAATCTTCTGCTTTTGCCTTTCATTGGCAAATCCAATCAGAAGCCAAGTGTCAAGAGAGCTAGGGCAGACCATCAATGGAATTTAGCTCCTGTGATTCAGAAGAGTGTGGATCTACAGAGAAAACTGCAGGGACCAGACAGGAGGATCTTGCATTTGGTGAATAAAAAAAAAAAATGCATTTTATAATGAAGGCTTCACGGAGATCTGAAAATATTGTAAGCAAGTCAATGGCTCTTGGAACATTTCAGGGAGTTTCTTTAAGTTTCTTTAAGTTTTTAACATTTCTCTAAGTTTCTTTAGTACCCCATTCCCACATTACCTTCATCCAATAGGGCAAAGACTTTATCTAGGCCGCATCTCTTGCCTTTATCTCATCTCTCAGAGACTTGACAAGCTGGTATTATACACACGGCCAGCCAAGGTGTTAATAGCCAATAATGCCTTAATGTGCTTCCTCTTTCAGATAATGTTTAGATTTATAGAGAGCCATTAGTGCCTGCATCATTTAGTTATTACCATAATTATGCTGTGTATAAACTACTTCTAAACTCTGAGATTTCAAACATTAAGTATTTATGTAGCTCAATTTCCTGTAGGCTGGAAATTTAGGCTGGGAAGATTTTCTGGTGTCGACTAGGCTTGCTCATATATCTGGGGTCATCTAACCTGTTGACTGAGAATTCACACTTTTGGGGATTGACTGATAGTCAACTGGTTTTCAATGCTGTCTTCTCCCTATGTTTCTCCCAATTCTCCAGGAGGCCAGCGTAGTCTGGCTCTAAACACAGGAGAGAATAAGAAATGCACAGACTCTTTAACCAGTGTCTATGGTGTCACCACTGCCATCATCTTAGTCAAAGTGAGTCATGTGGCCAAACAGACTCCAACTTTTGATGGGAGAAACTGCCAAGTCACACAGAGGAGCTGACAGAGAGCTAGTACCATTAATGCCATCAATTTTCCAATCATCATTGGGTACTTTATCACAGGCAGTGAGGATTTACTTATTTACTGTCAGGCTCTCCCATTCAAATGTAAACCTTGACAGTGCACACTTGTACCTCCAGTGGTTCTAACAGATGTGCTCACAATAAATTTTCACTGAAGCCATAAGTGAATACCATTGGGTTCACATGGGTATTATTTGGAGATTGGACCTTATGAAATTTTTCTTATTTGCCAAGTCCCCATGCGCAGACAATTATCACTCATAATAAATGAACCCAAACATGGTTTCCTTCTGTATAGTTTGGCATGCTGCATTGCTCTTTTACCTTTTCTCTTATAGATTCTCATCAAGTCAAAAGCAACCTAGTTAACCTACTCAAAAGCATGAAGTCCAAGGAGAGGAGCTGCCCCTCAGTCAGGGTCTTGTCTACCTCATTCCCCCTCCAGTAGGAGATTGGGAGTGGCTCAGTTGAAACAGCTTGGACAGATGAGATCACTGAAAGGCTGGTACTCCCAGGTATGGCCTGAATTGTGACCCCTCTCCCCCGCTAAATTAATATGTTGAAATCTTAACCCCCAGTCAGACTGTATTTGGAGATAGAATTTTGAAAGCAGCCATTAAGATAAAATGAGTTCACACAGATGGACCCTAATTCAATATGAAAAGGAGATTAGGACACAGACACACACAGATGGAAGATGGTGAAAACACAGTGGGAAAAGTTGAGAGAGACTCTGGAAGACAGTAACCCTTCTTATACCTTGTTCTCAGGCTTCCAGCCTCCAGAACTATAAGAAAACAAACTTCTATTATTTTAAGTCTCCTGTCTGTGGTAACTTGTATGCAGGCCCAGTAAACAAACATGCTCCCTTTCATAAAAGGGGAAAGCCAGAAGGAGACCTGGCTGGAGGGACTCCTCCAAGCCCACTCCTATGTGAGTCAGAGGAATCCTAGCTGACTGCTGGGGAGAGGCTTGCCCGCAGAGGAGACTCCAGGAGTGGCATGGGCTGGAAAGCTCACGGGACCCCTTCAGAGTGGCCAGTGCAGGCCAGAGACAGATGGTGCTGGGGTCCTTTCA